TAATGTGTCGGGATTTATTTTTAATCTTGGAAAAAGTTGCTTTCGTGTTTTAGAACTCGTTACTGTAGGGCATTTTTCCCTTACGTAATAGAAGGTACACGTATCATATTAGGCCATTAACAGTGTATTGTATTTTTGATTGAAGTTTGAAAAATAGAATTTGACGATGCTTAAGATACATAAAAATCTTTATGAAAGACACAAACAGTTTGTTTTGTCTATACATACTTTGTAATATTGTATAACATTCTAGTACAAGACCCAAATATAACAACAGGAAAAAGGTGAGTCAATAACCACTGAGGGCGTATGTCATGCAGTTAAGCATTAACAAATCTGATATAGATTTCGAAAAAGTCTTTTTCAATGTACGTTAACTAGAACTTGTCATACATATGTCTTTGCCCTATACACTTGACAGCAACTAATGATAGTAATTCATATTACCTTGACACGAAACTGATAGTTATAAAATACATCTGTTGGCCCTTGTAATTATCTCGTGTTATATAAAAAAAGTTTTGCTAATAAAGAAGATACCTAAAGAGTGTATAAAGATAATTAAACACAATTCTAAATGTTTTAATAGTAACTTTAAGCTTTTATTCATATCATTTAATCACGAACTACGAATAAGCAGCACGCAATTGTTGATAATACCATAATGCAAATGTTTAAGATTTAAGGAAAATATTGAAGCATCTTATAAAAGTCAGGTGTAAGGGGAATTTATTCAGAGAAATGAACTCAAGAATAGAATGAATAAACACCAATCATTAAATGTTTCAAAATAAAATTTTTCCCGTGACAAATTACATTACGTTCAAGTTCAAGTACGGGACAGCGTTTACCAGTAGTCACTAGCCGTTAACCGCCGCCCGTTGTGAAGAAAGCTCTGAAGAAGGATAGAACAATCGCGAACAATGAACACGATAGTAATAAGGTCGGTTCGATGGAGTCTTTACACTTTGTTTTGTTTGTTTGTTTCTTTTTACGCCTTTTCCCAACAGTATTTCAGTCATATAAGCGGGTAGTTTCCTAACCATCGTTCCTGGAGAGTTACACCAGTACTAGACTACCTTCCTCCGTGCTAAACTACCAAAGCGTCTCCCGGGGATCGAACCCACGCCAGAGAGGTAAATGGATTAGAAGTCATCGACTCTAACCCCTCGACCACGAAGGCATTTAACAGATATGATAGAGTGTATAAATGTTGCTATGTCTTTTCATAACCTTCATTTTATCAAATTGAATGACTGTACAAATTTATAGATAGATTAACGACAAATAAGAATAATACAAAATAGCAAGACAAAAATATGAATAAATGTAAAAGTGTGTAAGGCTTTAATAAGTAAAATATGGTAAACAATTCAAACCTTATCTAATCATTGTGTTTTTACTTTATAGTTAAACGGGTTCTATTGAAATGTTTCATTGCGTTATTTTAAGTGGACTTTAGCGATTTTATACGCATGAGCCATTGGTTTTTACTAATATTTTATCACAAAATAGCATGCGTTGTATTCAGTAATAAGCACATTAATATGATGTATATCTCGAAATAAAATAACAGCGAAATAACAAACAAACAAACAAACAAACAAACAGACAAACAAACGAACACGCAATAAGTTTGCTCATACAGATCGATCGATACTCTGTTCACTTAAATTGAAAGTCGCCATGCAAGTTTATATATGTATGTGTAGTAACAGATAAAATGATACCAATAACATAATTATTATTTTGAATCAAAAACAAATGTTATATTTGCATTAATCGGTTTGTCTTAATAACTTTATAATATGTATTTCAACCAAGATAACGTGAAATGTCACTTAGAAACAGTGCATTTGATCCTAATATTCTAATGTTATTGATATTTGCCAACCCTTACAATGACACCACTTCCATATTGCCTTGAAGCTACAAATTGCTTTGGCACGCAATCATTTTGTTGGGATAAAATTAATATTTTCTTGTTTATTGCTAGACGTCTGGCTTAATTAGGTATTTTATTATTTATTGATATAATCAATATGTTATTATTTTTGTCTTAGGTTTGTATAACATATTATGAGAATTGCCAGGAACTCTATAAAATATATCTTGTAACCTAACTGATCTTACTTCGGCTTCAAATATTTTGACCTGTTTTAAAGTTCAGGCTCTATATAGGTGTCAAGTGTTTTGTCAATACCTACAGTAGACAGAGTGTCGGTAATTAACATTTTTATTGATAGATTTGATGCATACATAGAGTACATGGAATACAAGGAGATAAAGTTTTATGTAAAGTAACATATTTTTTAAGGATAATTTTTCAGTTGATTATTAATCATTTTTAAAGCATAAAATATGTGACAAAACTATAGTTTCTGATAATAGCGTTGGACCACAGTCAATCAGATTGTCATGGAAAAGATGGACGTTGATGAATACAATGAACATTTAAATATACTCCAGATTTTTTTTTTCTTTAATATATTATTTAATTTATTTTTCTATCTATGTTTTTTTAATTTGTATTTATTGTTTTACTTATTTTTAAGAGGGATTGGGGAGGGGCTGAAAGCTTTGACAATTTTCTGTCGCTAATATCTACAATAATGTAACAATGTAACAATAAAACCAACCTTGAATAATGTGGACCCCGACATACACTTTTTCAAATTGCCATGATACAGCTTTTTTATTTTTAAACAGCCGTGTAATGAAATTCTCTGGTCTACAATTTTTGCTATTCGAAGTACAGATAGGGATTTCCTTTCATTATTGTCATTCATGAAAGTAAAGTTGAGTATATATATTATATTTTTTCAATATGCTTGTGGATATGTTTCGCGAAGTAGCTGTCAAGTACATGCGTTTCTATATGACATAATGTGACCTTAATTTAGATTTAAGGGAATTCACTGATGCTATGTGGCATGACGGGACTGGAAATATTTTTCCGATGTTAATGCTTCATTTAATATAGGTGTAGACCAAAAACCTTACTTTTGTAAAATTTAAGATCATTTGCTCACTCCATGTTTTTCAAGAATAAAAATTCTAATTGTGAAGAAAAATGAACAGCATTTCACTCAAATCGGTCAAAAAATAACAACACGATAATAAACGATTTTCATTTATTTTCTAAGTATACTGTATTAAGTTTCTTAATTATCTTTGCTTATTGTTCTGTTTTAAGTGCCCCAGCTTAAATATGTAAGAAATTCAAAATGTATGCTTTAAGGCTTTTTGACCTTCGTTGAGTTTTATAAAAATAGTTTACGCTGTTATTATAATAGCCATATAGTATACTAAACCAAGTCAAGCTTAATATTGATTGAATCGTAATGTGTTACTGTACAGTGACAGTTGCACAGCTAAATCATTTATCATTCTTTTCTACCAAAGTCTCAGCGTTTTGTAAGATATCAACCCCAAATGGCAGCTTTGGTTTTGCAATATCTCAAATTTTGAAATATGAAATATTGCTGTAAGAACTTAAATAAAACGTTGTGAGAAATCTTGTAAACAGGGAACGGAATGTCTCAAAAAAATCTTTGAACGTGGCAATATTTACTTAAAATATCACGATACATCTCAAAACGACTCTTGTAGTATCAAAAGATATGTTACGAATGGATAGGGTATTTTGTACTTGCCTTTTAAAGTTGTTTGAAACTGATCCGGGAATTTAAAGTAACTAGGAACACTTGTGAATTTCTAAAGGTTCCTACTCGGAACATTTTCTTCGTCAAGTATAGAAACCACTTACTAAAGAATTTGTGAAAGAGCCACCTTCCGTATATGGGCTTTCTACACTTTTTGAAATAATTTAGTAATATTAAGTATAAATCAGAAAACAGACATGGTAATTCAGTATACTTATAATACATGTTCAAAACATTGTATATTGGCTCTATTTCATTTATCAGTATTATATTTACACTATTTTATGTGTGTAGTGTTGATATGTAAAAAAAACGAGAAAATGAATGCTATTTTACATTTTACTGGTAAATATCATGCATGATTTGATTAAACAATTCTGTGCAATCATAAGGCGAATTGGTTAAAAAAGATATAGCAACATTCGTAGCATTGCGTCAACTAAGAAATCAATGTCACGATGTTTATAATTGTACATTGCAAGAATAATGTGATACCTAAATCGTCCTGGTTATAAATAATGTGTCCCGACAATGTTTGTACGATTCCTTTGCTTTCATATAATTGCATATTTTTCTCATATAAGAAAATAATTAACGGTATAAAAAAAGGTATTGTTTTTGTGTTATGCTATACTCTGACACCATAAATAAATCAAATACCGAATAACGCAAGACACAATGATTACATTATAATGCTTCGGATAGAAGGCGGACAGTAACCGACTATAAAGGAAAAAGACATTCGGCAGTACTGATGCTTTTGTTATCTACCGTATAAGTGTTTTTTTCTGCGGGCTCCAAATTCTGCGTTTTTTTCCAAATTTTGGCATTTTTTTTATTTACTGATATTGTAGTATATTTACGGAGTATTGAGTATTTTATCATTTTTTCTAGTGGGAACTCTGAATTCAAACAAAACAGAATTAATGTGTATCTTATAGACTAGTCAAAATATTTTAACCTACGGGATTTTTAGATAATTTTTGACATGGTCAAAATCCCAAAGGTTAAAAACATGAAAGGTCTATTATAGGGTGGAAAACGCTTTTACACAAATATACAAATTCCTTGGTAATAATACGTTAATAAACATAAAATATATCATTTAACATTATTTAGCGAAAAAACAATCAAGAAAAGGCACCGCAATTCGTCAAAACTCAATATTTACTCTTTTTGTTTTGAAAGTTTACCTTTCCCTACCTCCCCGAGGATGAGTTGCACTACTGTACCGTAAGGTGTACTTCGAAAATTTAGTGGCTTTACCGTTATGCGGTAACATGCTACTAAATTTTGAGAAATTTATTTTAGTGTTTTTTTTTTTAAAAGAAAATAATTGAAGACACAGTAAACAAACTTTATTGCAATATCATACAGTATTTAGGGAAAAAACTTGAAAAATCAGTGAACAAAGTTTATAACAAAGTTTATAGCAATTAAACCAGAGACATAGATAAACATAGTATTCAAAAGTATGGATAATGTTGTTTAACCGAATGCTTCATAAATGTGACTTTGAACATACAGGTTATAGGTTACATATTACTTATAAAGAGAAATTTACATAGATGTATGTTTTATAATTGAAAATGGCCTACAACATTAGTGAAAAAAACTGAGCTTTAGATAAATATTTTCTGTTTTATAAAATTTGACGAATATACAGTATAGACTTAAAACGGCACAAAGTTTTCATCAAATAGTGTGAATATAAAAACAATTTAATGTTATAAATTTTGACCTGCGCCGCATAGACGTTACTATGGTTACAAAAAGAGAATTTTGAAGTTATGTTCAGTTATAATGAAAGATCTAAATAACAAATTTATAAGATAAAATGTTTAGCTTCACAATGGTAAAAGTTGAATTGCAATAATTGTATAATTATAAAAATTGTGAAGAAATATCGGGTAATTCTGGATCATGCCCCGTATTCAAAGGACTGAGCCCTGTTTAAGAAGAGACTCTACGAGCTCGATCAAGCTTACATGACAATAGCTTCATCTTTGTCATAAACTTGTCCCTATTTATCTTTTCTAAAATGTTCAATTTTTGGAACGATTTGAACTTTCGTTCTTTGCATAATGAAATAAAATACGTCGCTAGCCTTATATATTTCTCCCAAAAACTGATTTAACCTAGCTGTGTCTGCTGAAGCTTCCACGCGGAGTGATGCCCTTTGATGTGCCGCTTATCTTTCATCGGTAACCTAGAGATACTTGTTACGCAATCATTTCATTTGCACATAATTTAGAAGCGTTAACAGGTTCCGACAGTGTGACACTTGTTATTTAATCGTTATAATTACAAAGAATGGATATTGATGAGCATTTCAAGTCTTTAAAAGCAATATATCCTTTTAATTTTGATTTAAAAGATGAACAAAAGCGCGTTATTCAAGCCGTTATGGATAAAAAGGATGCATCAGTTCTGCTGCCTACTGGATATGGAAAAAGCATGTGTTATGTTGTTCCGCCTCTTCTTTTTGATCAGGTACAATTATTCAATATGTAATGTAAATGCAATTGTGTCTTATTCCAATGATAATTATAAGTGTTTGGAACACTTAAATCATCATATTCTTATACACCATTACAAAACGTGATAACACCAAGTTTCTTTTAATTTTATTGCATATTAGTAAAAAAAAAATTTCAATACGTAATCATATAACTTATTACGCAAGTCATATCTGTTGCAGAGAGATCCTTCGATTCAACACACTGCAATGGTCGTTTCACCACTTGTCAGCCTTATGCAAGACCAACAACAGCATCTTTCTAATATTGGAATTTCGTCGACGATTTTGTCGCCTTCAGACGTAGGGGCAATGCTAGGTAAGAATCGGTATAAAATAATAAATAAGCATTGTAATTTATTTGAATCACGGAAACCGCAAGAACACCCTTGTTAAATATTAAATGCATCCGTGTTTTAAAATCATTGAGACGCTCACTTATGACAATACATTAGTTATTATTATTATTATTATTTATTTATTTTTTGCAATTCTTTTATTAGACGTCGAGAAGAAACCCGTATCGATCGTATTCTGCACACCAGAAGCACTACAGACATCCGCAGTTCGAAAACTTCTCATGTCGAAGACGTTTAACAAACGACTTTCTTTGCTTGCTTGTGACGAGGCACACTGTATCTCTGAATGGTAAGAATGATTATGTATATTTATATGAGAGTCGCAAAAATTTTGTAGTACGTATATAACTACTCATTACCGTTTATAAATGTTCGTAATTTTAAAAATGCTCATTTTCACAGTCTTTTATATTTAGGGGCGAAAGCTTTAGGCCAGAATATCGACAGATAGCAATAGTAAGGAGCCTGGTGGACGCTCCTCTTCTAGCCCTAACGGCAACTGCTACAGAGCAGGTTCAGAAGGATATCTGCCAGTACTTGATGATAGACGACACTGCTATCTGCGTTGCTAAACTGCCAGATAGGTAAATACATTAAAAATTAACACCGTCCTACAAGCAAATAAAAAAGAACATATTCTAGATCTCGTCCATTTATACTTGAAAACGAGACAATATCTTTAAAATTGGTCGATGTGACACTAAAAAGATAACCAAAACGCAATGATTTGTAGCTAAACGTCATTGTTTAAAATGATTTGCAAAAGAATATATATCAATACGCATCCTGATTGATACTAATTGATATGAATTGTATTCCAGACCCAACATATTCCTTGCAATACAAACCTCGTCAACTCCAGACTGTGAGTTGGAACTGAAATGGTTAAAAGAAGCAGCTGTTTCCAGAGAAAGCATGAAGAAGGTGATAGTGTTTTGCAGGTAAGCTTCATTTTTGTGTATATATTGGTAATTAATATAAGAATAATAGCTACTGGTCATTTATATTTCATAGATGCCATCATCACAATCTTCTTTGTTTTGCAATAGTTCGCTACACAGATAATTAATATAAATATAAAGTTCTAAGCATTATTAACCATCTTTATATCTTCATATATACATCGGGCATTTGATAACTCTATATAACTTTGACAGGTTTCAAATACAAGAACATAATTTTCAAACCATTACCTTGTAAATGACAATGATAATAATCCGAAAGTCTTTTAATTTTATCCTGAATTGTACTTGTAATCTTACCAACGTCAGTTCAAAATCAGTTAATTTTATAGCTATGCCCCTCTGCAATCATCACATTATCATTATTATCATCATCATATCCTCCATCCCACTCATTCTTCATTTATATGCATATATTAATATTTTTTGTAGATCATACTCAGCTGTTATACGACATTTGGTCATGGCTCACCGATAATCTCGACAGTGATTATGAATGTAGGATTGTAGAAATGTACCATTCAAGTACAGATGAAAGAAAAAAAAGGAAGAGATTCTGAATGAATTTAAGAAGAGTGACAGTCAGCTCAGAATACTTGTATGTACTGTCGCCTTTGGCATGGGTGTAGGCATCAATGATGTCGAGATTATCATACATTGGGGAGCACCAAAAAAAAATACGCTGATGTACTGCCAGGAAAGTTGGTCGGGCTGGGCGTGATGGAAGACCGTCATTGGCAATTATGTATCCATTCCCTAGATCTTTAATGAAGACTATAACTTCCGAAAAAATGAAAAGTGTTGTCAGATCTGAAAGTTGTGTGCGACAAAGTGTGTTAGACACGTTGAGAACGGCAGCAATGACAGAATCTCTTACTACAAGAGTTGTTTGTCCTGATTTAACATGTGAAATTTGCATATGCTTATCATGCTCGTGCTGCTCTTAATTGTAAAAAAACTCTGTAGTTGTATTGGTACTCAGATATTGTCAAAGACTTTTTGAAAAAGAAAATTAAAGATACATCTTTGCTGACATGAATGTCTTATATGTTAATGTCACAAATAAAAAAGGTTGGTCTACGATATTCTTATTCGTTTTGTTTCTTTAGTGTAAATCTACAGCTGTCTAAATAATCAATGACTTATGTTTTTCAAATATGTTAGTAAATTTTGGAAGTGGTACTGCTAAACAATGACAACAAAGTTGTTTTTAGTGAAAACAACTCTTTTTCGGTTAAAATACTTATACAATCAATTTTTAAAGTTTAAAACAGGTAAATTTAATAATTTATTATTTATACGTAATAATTAAATACCCGTAATATGGCCAAAAATGTAGATAAAATATTGATCCGTACTAATGAAAAGAAAATGGAAAAAAAGAAAATCTCTTCTATTTATAAATACATTCGTCCGGCTTAAAATCAATAAATAGAAAAAAAGACACGAAATCATAGGCCTACAAACTATGAAGAGCAGAAAAAAATAAGGGTTTCACGTAAAATAAATATAACCCAACTGACTGAACTACAACTGCAATATTGAATATATTTATCGTAAATTTTGATAACTATGTCAATTAAGGGCATAAGATATATAGCAGTTAAAAATCACTATAAAATTATCGTCGTAAAAAACCCGCGTACATGATTCCGCATTGTGCACTTTACTGCTATGACGTCACGCATTCAATGGCGAATAGGGAAATTGTATCGATGTGTTACAAGGTGTAGTTTAAATAGGATTATTGTCTTATGAACCTATGTCATATAATAAAGTGTGTAGAAATTACTTCTTAAGGAATATATCTTCAAAGGTAACTAATTCTTTCATTCCAATTTTGTTGTTTTATTGGTTTTTTAAGAATTTTTCTTCCGACTCAATTTTGAGTCGGAACGTCCACCACTAAATTGGTCTTTATTGTGTTCAACGCGCAGGGCGTAGCTCTGATCGCGTTGATATTTCGACTACTTATAGACCTATTCGCGCAACCTGTTAACGGCTTGACAATACTCATTTTCACCCCAAATGTAAAATGCTATTAATGTTATAATAATTCCAAAATACGCAAGGAGTTATGAAAGAGTTATGTGTACAAGGAAGGGTATATGTTGTCTATTCATTGGCAGATGACGAAATACATAAAAAAACCTTTAAAGTTATTTTATGCATTTAACTTTGTCTAGGAAAGAAAATTTTTATTGTTTGTGTATTTCTATGTTGACTCTTATCACTGCGATTATATTTTTCTGTATTGTTTCATATGGTTTTATATTGTTGTATAGAGTAATAAAACCTTGCATAATAGTCCCAAAAGTGAAGCGATGCAGACAGATGTAAACTATTGATACTTTTTTTTATCATCGTAAAAAAAACTGCATCATTTCTATATATAGATTTCCCCGTCTCGCGTTCTTACAATAACATTCATTCTCAGACCATCATATCTGGCTACTTACGTTATTCCAAGAAGGAATGTTTAATCTATTCGGTTTTCAAAACTTGAAAACTACATTTTTTATCTAACAGTGAATAAAGAAACTGTAAACATTTACCGCAAGATAGAATAATGCCCATATATCGTATTTCTACAATGTAATTTCAAGTATTTCAAGATGGAAACATACTGTTTATTATATCAAATTGCCCTTGAGGTGGCTTTTGTATTGAAATAAGTACAAGCAATGTCGATGACGCATCGTCACTCTTTTTAGACTGTAAACGTTTTTTTAGTGTGTTCTTTGTGGTGAGCCGTGTTTTAATTTGAGATCACGAACAACCCAGCTAAATCGTTTATCATTATTTGTATCAAAGTTCCGTGTTAATAAGATATCAGCCCAAAATGTCAGCTTTCGTTTTTTCAGCAATGATTAATGTGATACTGGTGCAATATCTCAAATTCTGAAATATAAAATATTGCTGTGAGAACTTTAATAAAAACGTTGTTATAAAGCTTGTATACAAGGAGCAATAAGTCTCTCGGTAAAAAGGTAAAAAGTAAAAAGTTTTTGAACGTAACAAGATATCACAAAACCACAAATATCACAAAACGACTCCTGTAATATCAAAAGATACGTTGCGAATTGATAAGATATTTTGTGCTTGCTTATTGAAAGTTGTATTTAAACTGCCCGGAAATTCAATGTTACTAGATATACTTGTGACTTTGAAAAGGTATAGACTGATTTAGAACTTTTTTGAACTTTATTTCTTGAAGTACAGAAACCACTTATTATAACAAAAAATTAACTTCCGTAAAGTATAAGTCCAACTACACTTCTTGAAACAATTTAGTAATATAAGGCATAAACCATAGACATCGTCGTACAATAAACGTATAATACATGTCTAAACCTTTGTACATGTTGTATATTGTTATATTTTATTTACATTGTAAAAATTTTTGATATACAATTTATAAATTTGTAGCGTTCATGTAAGAAAACGACCAATTGTATGCAAGGAAATGAAATTAATGTTATTTCACATTTTCATGTATGATTTAATAAAACAATTCTATTAAATCATAAGACTGATTGATTAATAGAGTAATTTCAACATTTATAATATCGCTTCAACTAAGCAAGAATAAAGTAGTATCGCCATCTTTATTGTCTAAATACTTAAATCTTCCTAATGATAAGTAATGTGTCTCGGCCGTCAATGTTTGTACGATTTATTTGCTATCATATAAAGATAGAATAATGCCCATATATCGTATTTCCACAGTGTAATTTCAAGTATTTCAAGATGGAAACATACTGTTAATTATATCAAGTTGCCCTTGAGGTGGCTTTTGTATTGAAATAAGTACAAGAAATGTCGATGACGCATCGTCACTCTTTTTAGACTGTAAACGTTTTTTTAGTGTGTTCTTTGTGGTGAGCCGTGCTTTAATTTGAGATCACGAACAAATTTTATAGAAAAACGCAATTCATAACGAAAGACTACAATGTCCTTTTTAGTAAGGACGCAACAGAGTAATTCAAACAATCATGTGTTTAATAGAGTATGGTTTCGGAGGATTTTTTTTTACCGAAATAACATTCTCCGTACGCGAAAACTTTTAAGATACAGCAAATGAGGTAGTTTTGACCTCTGGTGTTCCTTTAAAAGTTACCCGAGGTTAGCCAAAATGTCATTTTCCATATAAGCTATACTGTGTTGTTGTGCCGTAAAACAAAGATTCATGTTCGAGGTAGAAGTCAATTGTTTATATTCCGCTCTAAACTAGGTTTCAAGTAGCATCTAGAATAGTTTTAAGATAACCACATTTTCATTTATCATAATTATCACTATTTGTCATTTTTGTCACGTGACTATATTTTATTGTATTTAAGAAATTGTATAAAACGAAATATCGTATAATTAAATAGATATTTTTCTTCTACTTTACAGTTCTGTCATTTGATCTAGATCGAAGATACGTTTTGAGTGATATCCACGTAGGTAGAAACGTCAGCAACTGTAATTATTGACTTCAAAAGTATGGTTAATTTCTTGTTTTTGCAGCGCTAACTGTTTTTGCTACTTGGCAAACTAGTTAAGCTCATAATATATTTTGCCTCCTATTTATTCTATCCCCTCCATGAGCATTTTATAAGACTTAAAGTGTTTTTCCCCGTTATTGTACCATGTTTCTAATCATATGCACCATGAACTTTATATTTGTGTTTGTCTATAAAAGTTAATAGGGCAATCAAGGCCTGATGATAAATACTAGGCACATAAATATTCAATTCTGAATGTTGATAACACGCACACATTAATCAAATGGACCTACTGATTTAACCCACTTGATATGCGTATGAATATGTCACTATAAATAACAATAAGTCACTGTGCAGATTTTATGTTGATAACTAGGAAATCAATTATTTCAATGTTTTGAAAATGAGCACAAATTGATAAATAATTATTGCAAATTTATTCTTATATTTTGAACGTATCATGTTCATAAATTATATTTAAAGTCACGCTTTTATTTTG